CTGTACTACACGTGATATTATATATCGGAGTGAGTGAAGTGCATTTCATCTTTTTTTGAATTGAAGTATCCTTTGAAAGTCTTTTATTTAAACATCTATAGTGTTTTTAATTATGAGCAACAAAATTATGTTTAAGCAATAAATTTATAAATTTTCATTTTCGTTGATTATTGATTTACTAGTAGATGACCTATTTTATTACGGCCTTATTTTCTTGTCTGGTATGAAATTGACCGTTGTTAGTATTTTCAGCCCTAAAAATAATTTAATGGTGTGATATTGTATAGTTCTTATCTAATTTTTGTAATTAATAATCTTTTATACGCATATATGATATATGATGATTTGAAGAATATAATTGAACTATATTAACGCCAGTGTTGTTTCTCTAAATGGTATTTTATTCAAATATTTAATGCTATGTTGAAAATGCCATGACAATTTTTTTTATTTGGCCTACGCTAACTTAATAAACCGTATATAAATCTGCTGAAGGAGTTGGAGAATTAAAAGGTGAATATCTTTTCCCAACTTTCTTGTAAGCAATTGTGAAATTTATTTATCAATTAACTGGTATTATTTTATGTATAATTACTATACTTGTCTTTCCTGAATTTGGATGTCACTTATGTATCCTTATCTTGTCGTTATATTTTGTGATAAGAAAGTATAGAACTTTTAAATCACTTATATAAGAATTTTATAATGCAAAGCTTTTAAACAATATTCTATTCTTTAAATATCTCTTCCCTTTGTCTTACTAAAAAGTTTGTGAAGATGAATATTATGACTTTTAAAAATATTATGAAATATCTGGTCATATGTACTAATGCTAAAACATTATTTAATAATGAACATCAAAATCGACATTTAAAACCTTTAGTAGCCTTCTGAAATACATGAGTGATGATTAAATTAACTAAGTACATTTCTATAATTGCTGTTTATTACTTGTGACAGGGCTGTCTTAATTTTTTTATACTGTTTCATCAATAAATTTCAATAAGCTTATTATTCTATGATATGGATTTTTTTACAGGGCAACTCTCAAAATTCAGATTACCCGTGTGCCACTGCTACAGTATTTAGAATATGTAATTCTCATTAATCAAATGATCTTTCGGGACAATTATAAATTCAAGTCATTAGTTGGTGCACCCGAACTTCAGGAGTAATCCAAAATTAGAGGTTGTATGTATTGGAGCTGGGCTGGCATTAAGTAATACTAGCCAAGCAAATCTATAGCAAAATTGTCAACTAAACATGGACTATAAATTTTGGTTTTGTTATACTAAAATACAAATACGTTTTCGATAGACATCATAAGTTCAAAAATGTAACCATTTATGTAACTATTGTATCACTTTGACCAAACATTAAATGCCTCCGCTACACTCTAAACAATTAAAGTTTGTATTTTATTTAGAGCATGAATTTTTTTTCCTTTTTTAAAAAAAAAGACTCTGAACAACTTCGTTCACTTGGTTACAAATATGAACTCGGTATTGGTATTAAGAAAGACGAAAAGAAGGCTTTTGAATATTATATGAAAGCAGCTGAGTTAAGAAATTTAGAAGCGATGAATGATGTTAGTACCTGTTATCGTTATGGAATTGGAGTAGAAATAAACTACCAGAAATCATTTGAATATTGTAAGAAGTCTGCTGATTTGGGAAATGTTGGAGCAATGTGTAATGTTGGTTCTTGTTATCTATATAATGAAGATTATAATAAAGCATTTGAATACTATGAAAAATCTGCTAATATGGGTTGTAAGCCGGCAATGGTTAGTGTTGCCCTATGTTATCGTAACGGTACCGGTACAAAGAGAGATATTCAGAAGGCAAATTATTGGTTCAGAATATATAGAAGTAATCTGAAAACAAATAAATCACCAGAACATATCAATCCTGAACTTAAGAGAATATTAGATGATGAGAGATTTAAATTATCTTGGATTGATTATAATGAGTTCACAATTAAACGGGAACTGGGAAAAGGTGGATTCGCAACTGTATATTTTGCACGTCGAATCGATTATATTAATGCTATTTGTGAAGATGTTGCACTTAAAGTGATTCATGATTCAAACAAAAATTTGCAAGTATTTATCCAAGAATTGAAGAATTACTGTGAAATTGGTTACGAAAATCCTTCATTCTTGAATTGTTCAGGAGTGTCAAGGAATAATTATGGTGATTATATTATTGTCATGGACATTAAGCCAAACGGTTCGTTACGGCAAAATCTTGTAGAGGTATCACAATTAGAATGGAGAGATAAATTGAATATTTTGCATTGTATAGCTTTAGATCTTGAGTCAATTCATTCTCAGAAACTCGTTCACAGAGATTTACACAGTGGAAACATTTTGCATCAAGATAATTTACAAGATGCATTTATCACTGATCTTGGACTTTGTAAAAAAGTAAAAGAAGGAAAAGCTTGTGGAGTTTTGCCGTATATAGCACCAGAGATTTTGATGGGTCAACCGTATACTGAAACATCAGATATTTACAGTCTTGGAGTTATAGCGACAGAGATTTCGACCGGACAAAGAGCATTTGATGGAATTCCGTTTAATGGAGACCTTGTAACAAAAATTATCGATGGATTAAGACCCAAATGTTTAGGACCAGATTTTTATATTAAATTAGCTATGAAATGTATGGATAAAGATTTTGATAAACGACCTACTGCAACTGAAATTGTTGAAATAATCACTCGTTGGTTGGATGAAATAGATCAGGATGATGATAATGAAATTAAAACCAAAATTTTGGAAGCTAATGAGATTAAATCAGAACTGATTGGACAAATACATTCACAAGATATGTATACCAGTAAATTATATGATACGAAAAAGATTTCCGAACATATTAGTAAACCGATGAGTTCTTAAGCAATTTCTCAAATTTAGATTTAAATTAAACTACGTATATGCAGTAAATGTGTTTATGTGACACGTAATTTATCTTAGTTATTATCAAAAATTTTATATATAATCCTATTCCCTATAAAACATTTTTATTCGAATGCTTCGCAATATTACAAATTTTATATTACATGTCACTCTGGTTATATCGACGTTCCTTAAATAAACAAATTATCCGTATATGTATCTGGATATCGTTTTCAGCCAATATGATGTATATATGCTAAAATTTTTAATGTGTATTATCCTATTATTTGCGCCTTGGTGATTTATTCTTCGAGTAAGAATCCTTTAATATCAATTTTATCTTTTTTTTGTGTCTCAAATATCATCGAAAAGCATAGGTACGATTGGCCATGTGATTGGAAGAATGCCGGCACGCCAAAGGTGCCGGAAATAAATTCAATTAAAGGACTTTAAGTCCGCAGAATACATTGTGAGTAATTTGAACTGAGTAATTTGAGCTGAGTAATTTGAACTGAAACGATGATATGCTCCCGGGAAAATTAGCAAGTGAGATTGCGCTCAGGTATCATCGTAACAGTAGAATGAGTGAGAAGCAGCATCAACCGGTGGTTTCCCGCCTGCTCGAACTGCTCAAAGCAGGCCGGCTGTTAAATAGGAAAATGACAGAATCAGGAGAGTGTTCCAAAAATTCGGATGTCCTGATTTTGCAATTGTCCTATAAGCTGCCCCTTAGCGACGGTCGTGCAGATACATGTGTGATTGACATTGTTGCCTTCTTGCGGCTAATAATTTCATTGCATTGTTAGTACCTATTGTGCGTATATATCGTTATTGTTAACAAATATACATATATATTCCTTCCTTCTTTCTTTCTTTTTTTTTTTTTTGATTGACGATTTTGACGATTTTTTTTTTTTTATTGCTCGCGTTTGTTAGTGTGGGGCAAAGCCTTTCTTGATTGGTATGGTATAATTGGTGTGCTCGAAGAAGCCCAATAGATTATTAGTGTGAGAGCGGCTCAATTACCGTATGGCTTAATTAGTATTAGTGATGCCTGACGAAACTATAGACGAAACTACAGATGATTGACGATTGATGAAACTAGAGATAGGTTTCATGCATACTGAGAAAGTGTGGACTAATTATGGATGATTAAAACTAACCAACTAATTGTCCCAAGACTCAACCTTGAATTGGTAGACAGAAAGAAGCTGTAAGGATTTGGTCCGGGTCTTAAGGTTAGGTCGTGCTACGGTGTAACTGGTCTTACAATACTTAATATTATTATAGCAGGACGATGATTTCTGCGGTGACAAAATAACAATTCTGTCCGTGCAAAATGATAATTCCGCAAAAATTCTGCGATCTGACCAGAATTACATAAAATGGCCAGCATTATAGTTGTAAATTCCGGTCAAATTTAAATGTCAACCGGCATTATGTTGAGCAATTGCACTAAATTATAGGCACCTCTCAAATCTATTTTGGTGAAAATTCAAGAATGCAGAAGTCATCATTCCTGTTCTATAGTTCTATTTTCTTAATTCAAAAATGTAGGATTCGAATATTTATAAACTCAGTTCATGATGTTATGTGATCAGGTAATTGGTATCGGGCTCAGAACCAATAAAATCGCAGGATCTTCAAATCTTCATGTAACATAAATAACTCAACAATAAAAACAAAGAAATCGTAATAATACAAAATTTTATTATCAGAGAATGTTTATGTACTGACTAGTTTTTAATGATTCCTAAAGCAAAAGTTGCATATTTTATTTTTATTTATTTTTTCTCATGAATAAATATATATTTGCAGAGTTTTATCATGAGTTTTGTTATGAGTTTTGTCATTCATCTAATTTAAGCTCTCAGATGAAACAGTTTCATAATGAGTTTTGTCATGAGTTTTGTTATTTGTCTAATTGAAGCTCTTAGATGAAACAGTTTCATCATTCGTCTAGACAAAACTATTTCATCTTTCATCAGACATCATTAATTAGTATTGCTGCTATTGTGGCTAGGTGGGTGCAAATATACCTATAGAAGGAATCTGAGCTCCATCTACTGATCTTTTGAACTAATATTAGTTGAACTCCTCACATGACCAGCTCAGTTGTTCCACCAGCTCTAAAACTGTAGCCAGCAACATCCTCCGTAGATAATAATTGTTTGAGCCTACTAATGAATTGGCATTTGGTTGTCCAAGAACCATTGGACCTGGTAAACAGTAGCTCACTTGTATACCTAGTTATCAAGCTGGATCTTTGAACCACATATGCCTTTAGAGCCTCTACTGGATATAAGTGTTATGGAGTTACCCAAACTACTGTGTACTTGTGGGTCTATACTATCAATTTACACTCGCTTGGCAATTTATGATGACTAGTGTATCGTACCAGATATTACCACCAATATGTTCACTAAGAATACTTTAAAGAACTCAATTCTTCAGTCCAAAGACTGTTTAATTCTTTATTTACATTTCACTATTTAAGCGATTCAAAACAATTACATATTTTGTATTACAGTTTAACTATTTCTTTGTTATTAATTAATTAAACTTTTCATTGTTTGCTAACCCAACGTCATATTCATGCAATCAATGATCAAGGTACCTTTCGTACCCGATCTTGCATGTGCCGCCCCACATCTCGATTAATCTTTGACCCTCAAGTCCCTGATCAATCACATAATCACGTGGATTGATCGCTCTATATTTCTTATCTGCTTTTACACCTTTATCTTACTAATTAGCATGTTATCCATTTGCATACCTTTTACTAGGTATAAGGACTCTTTGGAAACTATGCAATAATAATTTATCATATATAGGGTTAATAATAAGAGATTGGCATTCAGCAGACTTGTAGTTTTTGATTCTTGCTAGTTGAATAGTGGCAAATATATAGTTGTTGGCCTTATCGAATCTTAAGGCTCGAAAGACTGGCACATTATCCCCATCTTGCTGTGTTGTTAGGAGAAGCTCGCCTAGGCAAGCTAGCCCATAAAAAGCTGTTAATGCTATTGCCCAAAAGAGTATGTTCTCTGGCTCACTCAAACTTAGTTCTGCTTTGATAGCCTATAGATGAATCTTTGTGATGTATATTTTTTGATTGACAGGTTTGTGAGTGTGATTTTTGTTAATAGTTTTTAATAATTGTTCTACCAGTGCATCACTACGAGTTTCATTCTATTTGAGATAGTTTATTGTGTGTAGTGTTTTAATATTAATAAATATGATATAGAGATGCAGGTAGAATTTTGTCATGCATGTAAGTAATAAACTTTATAAGGTGTTCTTTTAATATAGGCCATATCTGGTCTTGGTGATTAAGCCAGTCATTGTTCTTTGCTAAGGCTCATATTGCCTTATTACAGATTCATAAGATTTGTTCATCTTTGTATTTAGGCCAAGTATTGAAGCAGCCTGTTGGTCCAATGGTTGGGTGGGAGGTAGCCAGGTAGGTGTTAGTGGGTTTACTAGTTCACTTGTTGTTTTGGGTATAGAAAGAACTTTGCTGTTTTACTCTATTGAGTTAAAGAAGGGATAGTAGATATTAGGTGAGAGAATCACAAGTTGCAAATAACATGACAAGGGTTTTTGTATAAAAACTCTCTATAGCCATTTCATAAGAGCAAATCTGCATCAGAGTTTGCTTTTTCATGAACTTGAGAGAGAAGCCACCATGAATTTGGACTAGATATATTTGTGCTACAATGTTATTAATAATGGGCTGCAAAACCTATATAGATAGCCTCAGCATTTGCTTGATTGTCAATTCATATAATGAGCCATTTTTGTGTCCAAATTGATGCAAATATCAATATGGCAATAAGTGATGTAAGAAGTTCTTGCTCCTAGATACTATGTTAAGACATATTGATATCCTGAAACCACTAAATATAGTAAAGTATAATCTAATTACTGTATTACCTTCCAAATTGGATATATCAATAGATTCTAAGTAGCTGGACTTAGCCAAACTTGGTCCTCTATTAAATGTATACCTGAATATTCCAGAAGTGTAGCAATCCACTATCTAATATCTGATTTTATTGCACTATTAATTTTGATATATGATTTAAAACTACCTGTAGTGCTAAGTGCTTTAATAAAGTGCTGTATGAACTGACATTCTTGTGAGAGGATCTGGCAGACCTATATTACTAATTCGACCAAGAACTGAAGCTCCTTTTTGATGCATTATTTCTTGTTTAACTATTGTTGTATCATAGTAGTTAATTTGTACCTTTTAGCTAGTGGGATTGTTGCTAAAAGTGCCTTTGTATCTATCTGGATTCCAAGAAATGTAATCACAGTGCTGGGCCCTTTAGCTTCGAAGACTTGTATAGAATATTCAGAATGTTGAAAATATAAAGAAACTGATTTAGCTTTTGCTAAGCATTTAAATATAATATAATAAAAAATCATCCACATAGTAAATTATAGACTTCAAGCCCTGTTGTACTGCAATCCATGCCAGGACATCTGCAAACCTGCAGAATATTCTTCTAAAGACCCAATTGCCAAAGGCCAATGTCTTTTTAAAATATATCTGTTCTTCAAATATTAAACCCTACAACAACACTTAGTTAACAGGATATACAGGAAGGATCCTATAGGCATTCTTAATATCTACTTTTGATAAAGAGTAATCCACCTAATCGCATGGCTAATATTTTTGTATTGTGTACTAAATTCTAATCTGTTAATGCCTTCATTTATACTATTTCCAAATAGGGCTAAAAGGTGTGATATAACCCAATACACCTTGGAGTTTGTGTTCTTTTTCTCTACAAGACCACATATATTAATCTGAAATATTAGATATAGTAGTTGCTGTACTAAGAATGGGCCACACATTTGTCCAAGCTCTAGCTCTTCTTGAATGTATTTAGTGAGTAATTAGAATCAATTTTTACAAACTTGAAATTTTCTTGGATAGTTGTAATTCTTTGACTAGTAAAGTTAAGCTGAAAATTATTCTTAAGACCTTCAAGCAGATAAGCTATGAACAATTGATTAGAGTGGCCCTATATTGGTTTTTTTTTTTGGTATTAAGGTGACCTCTTTGGCCGGGAACTTTTTATTAAGTAGCTATAACATTATACAATTACAACGAGGGTACATCAAGCCACATGTGCACCTTTTGAGTGTCTAATTTAAGTAGTCCGCCTGAAGGTTCTACACTATCTGCCGTACCTGCACCCCAACTAGGGGGGTACCTATTTAAACCCTCTGGTTCTAACTGTCAGTTATTTCTACCTAACCAAGATGTAACTCACTATTCGGTTGTAGCTTTTGCGACACCTGTAGATTTCGCACCCACCTTAGAATTTACTAACCATCTAAAGCTAATCTATCCATGAGGTAAACCTAACAGAGTGGTCCATGTCTCACACATGTATTCACCTGCATGTTTAGTAACTTCTTATTTAACTAGTACATGTTGTACTGCTGCCACTGGGTTTGTATCTCAAGCCAACTTTTGGGGTGCTTCCATAACCCGATCTGTATCTCAAGCACAATCTTTCTAATTAGTTACCCATTATGTACTCACTGCCCTTGTAAGGTTTCCAACAACCCTAGTACCCACATTTGGAACTGTCTCCTTACCCGGATTCTTTATTGGTCCCTTCCTTACTTCTAGCCGGCAACTCAGATAGGTCGGTCTGCCCAGACTTTAGGTGCCTGAAGGATGCCCTCCTCTTGGTTTATACTTTTGGAGCATATGTTCTTTTCTTTCGGTGCAACAACCCGGTGGTTCAGCTAGTGTGTCCTCCTCTATTTAGAACCTGGTCACTCAGTTCTCCGATCTCGGACCCTGGTTTGAATTCAGCCCTCCTGTGGTACTGTCAAAGATCATTGCTACATCCCAACTTGGGACTTGCCAAACAGGTTTTTGTTATTCCGGTTCCTCAGATTTATTGCACCAAAGCTCTCATTACTAGATGGTATAACTGAGATTACAGATTAAGATCCAACTGATAATTGACAACCATTAACTGAAATACAGATCTATTTTTCAAAATCGTCATCTGTGGGATTCGAACTCTAGACCTGCCACTTGGGGATGACAACTCTACCACTTCACTAAGTTGCCACACCCTGCCCCATATTAGATATTTGAAATTATCTATATTAATTGGTATAGTGATATTGAAAATTGTAGAGTCAAGCTGGTCTAAAATATCTTTTTTGATAGCTGTCAAAAGCATCTTTCATAGAAAAACAGCTATGAGTTTACTTTTAACTGATTGTAGTATAGGAGGTTCACATATCATAATTCCTCTTGCTACTTTGTATTGGATAGATGCTTGAATAGTAATTGTTGGGCTAAATTTATTTGAAAAGTTAAGGTGAATAGTATTGTGGTGTTAGCTTATTAAATCCAATAGACTACTCTATACTAATAGAGCTATTGAGACTATATTTGTTTGTATTGTATATATACTTCTTTCCTCATGCTCTCTCTCTCTTTTTAAGTAATTATTTTTTTTTATAATTTTTTTAGTTTTTTTTTGATTTTTTTATTTTTTTTATTTTTTTTTTATAATTGTTCTGTTATATATATATTAATTTTTGTTCATTTACAGTATTATAATAATTGTATTATTGTTATTATTTATAAGATGTGCAAAATAGTTCTTTATTATATATCCAGGGTTTGTATATAAAGTTATTATTGTCTTTTTTAGTTGTATTTATTGTTGTTTTTTTTGATTAAGCAATTGTTTTTTTTTATTGCTTACTATGTATATGCTTTCTCTGTTTTGTTACTATGCTTAAGGTCTGTTTTCTTTGAATTGAACTTTTTAAAACAATGCTGCTCATTATGGTTAGTTCTTTTGCAAATTAAACAAGCATAAACTCTACTACAGGCCTTATTATCTGTACAATATTATTTGTTCTAGTTGATACAAATCTCTCTCTATCTATTTAATATCAGAATGCATTATCTAGTATGTATTGTTTTTTTATCTTTTTATTGTAGTTGCATCAAAATTTCTATCTTCCACTTCTGTATCTCATTCATAGAAGGTAAAGTTATAATTTGTAACAAAAGTAACTCTATAGTCTTTATCATAAGATATTACTGTATAAAAGCTTTGTTTAAGGCACAGTTTGTTTATATAATCTCTATACCAATTCAACTTTTGTTCTCTGTTTTCATAAATAACCAGAACAGAATCAATATAAGACTTGAAAGCAAGCAATTACTCAGAGATATTAGTAAAGACAATGTGCCTTGTATGCTTCTTTACTGAAATTGTGCTACTCTTAGTTTGCAAAATAGGCTCATTGTCTATTTCTTTTATATTTAATAGCAGATTCTTGTATGTAAAATCTTGGAGGTTTATATAAGCCAAAGGCAATAGCTTTCCAAAGTTTAACTAATATACTGGGCTTGTAAGGCAAACTCTCAATAATCTTTTAACCCTTAGACCAATTGGCAACTCACTATAATTAAATCTTTTTGGTTTTAGCTGCTTGAAAGTTTGAGAAACCTTGAACCTTGTACATATTCTTGAACTTTGTATAATCAAAAAATAGATATTTTCCTAGTATTATTTTAAACAACTGCACAACTGCAAAAGTCATTATAGAATATATAGAAGCATATACTGTTAGTAGAGCTATTGCTAGTAGGGTTTGTTTCTGGATGCTAACTTTTGATGTGCTTGCAATTAAATCATTTAAAACTGAAGCAGAGAATATTTATCTAAAGCTGAAGCAGTTTCTTTCTCTTTGTCCATAGACTGAGAATTGTCAGATGTACCAGATAGTCTTTGCTATTGCTGTGGTGAGTCTATGAGATCTATCAAGGAAAAGCTATCTATATGAGTTAAAGTGCTACCAGATATGCTTGATTGCACTATCTGAGCTAAGAAATTGTTGATATTCATTTGTAGTTGTTTATTTCAAAGCCTCTGTTTGGCTTAATTGAGCTAATAAGCAATGTTGTTGCTACACAAATTGACTCATCAATATATAGCTTTATATTAGAGTCAATACTAAGTTCAGTTTAGTGTTAACTGGTGTTAGTGGCTATAGTTGGTTAGGAAATTTGTTGTGAATTTTTACTGATGTCATATATATTTTGTTTATTATCACTCATACTAGTTGACATTTTGCTTGTTAAAGGTTTATTGATAGGAGAGATTTGAAGTATGATGTTTTGTATAACAGAGTTAAGAACTTGTTTTACTAGTTGATTTGAATAAACTTACTGTTGTTGAGTTGGATAAGTAGTATTGGTAGTATTAATTTGATGTTCAATTTATTAATTCTAAGGTTTTGATATTCAATTTGT